AAAAATAACCGCCACTTTATTGCGAACAGTCACATTGTTTCAATATAACAAAACAGTTATTTTATAATAATAAATTCGAAATTTAATAAATAAATAAAAATGATCGTTGATTAGTGTCAAATCTCGTCCACGTGCGCACTCACATCCTTTCGTTATGGGACAAGGCACCTCGTTGTTTGTTTTACAAACAAACTACCAACAATCCCCAACTTTGTTTGTAAAACAAAATTGAAATAAAACGTTAAAAATATACAGCCAAAATTTCCGTGAGATTAATATACTTACGTAAAGGTCTCTTTCGAGTTAAACCTTTACTTAGTACAAGTACCTCAAAACTCTATCAAAGTGACAAGTAGCTCGGCTTTAAACCTGTACTTTTAAATAATAGAATCGGACATACCACACATATAATAACCTCTTGTTTCAGCGAGAAGTTCTATATTACTCAGCACTATTATGGCCCTATGCTTGTACCTGTTTCATGAGCTCTCTAGAAAGTAACCCCAACTTTCATAAAAAGCGGCACCACTTCTAAGCTCATATAGGTGACGTATCTTTCATGTGTTTCTATTACTGATAACACATTTGAACCATACTTCATTCAGAATTAATTCAACCTCCAAACGTAACAAACGATACTGACTTCTCATGTCCGGGCTCATGTCAGTATCAAACAATCACTTCAGTAACTTGTTTTTACCCATTAAACCTTGTAACTAGTGATGTTCTAGAAAAAGGTCGAGTTATCATTACTGGTGATTTTAATTAAAGGGTTTCAGGCCCGTTTCTTGTGAGGTCATATTTACCATGTCTCTTGGTAAAGTCTTTGTCAAGGAATCAGCTAGATTATTGCTTGACCTCATGTAGACAATTGTTACTATACCATCTTAAATCAGTTGTCTCACATACTCGTGTCTTAGACTAATATGTCTAGACTTATCATTATAAGTGTTATTATAAGCTCTTGCCAAAATAGCCTAACTATCACAATGCATAGAAATATGAGGCATAGGACTAGGTCATAATTTGATATCCAACAACAAATTCCTAATCCATTCAACCTCTTTCTTAGTTGCTGCTAAAGTATTGATTCAAATTCCATAGTTGAGTGAGTTATACACATTTGTTTCTTGCTCGTCCAAGAAACAACACAGCCATCAAATGTGAAAATCCATCTAATAGTGGATTGTTTATCACCCACACTTGTAATCCAATTAGTATCGGTGTATCCTCCTAATACAACCGAATAATTATTATAGAACAATCCCAAATTTGTTTTTTGGTTAAAACAATCCCAAATTTTAGTTCTCTATAATAACAAAAAATTCGGGTAATAGCTTTCCAATGTTCTATACTTGGATTACAAATATATGTACTCAACTTACATACGGAATAAGCAATATCAGGTCTAATACAATGCATCGCATACATTAAAGACCCTATAGCACTCACATTAAAGACCCTCTATCAAGAATCAAATGGAGTACTCATTTCTTTGATTGAAACCAAGATGTTCAAATTTATTCAACATTTTTTCAATGTAATCACATTGGCTCAAAGAATAACCCCAACTATGTTTTTAACTTTAATACCTAAAATAGTATCCGCTTCACCTAAATTTTTCACTTTAAAAATGAAAGTCAGATACTTGTTAATCTCAATGACTCCAGTCATATTGGTTCCAAATATAAGCATATCGTTAATGTATAAGCACACTAAAATATCATGAAAAGAAGAAAAGTAACTTGCACATGCATTCCTTTTATTTCAAGGCCTTAGTGTCCTTTGAATCAATAGTGCTAAAAACATTTAGAAAATGGTTAGCATAATAGAATCAGATGTCTTGTTGATGAAAAGTTGATGAAAGTCATGCACACATGTCTTGGAAGCTCGGCACAACTATAGTTTGTTGCACCAGGAGACATCCAGAGACAGTAAGCCACCATAAGTACCTCCAATAATCACCGTCTTCCACTCTATTACAGAATGAAGAGTCTCAGATGACTAAGGCTAACATCAAATATAGCCATATGACCACTTGCAGCACAAGCTGGGCAGTCTTAGGCACAAGATCAGCTAGACATCATCATCATGGCCCTCCAAATGACCAAACGGCTGATATGAATAAATAAGCCAAATGGATCTTCTATCTTTTCATGAAGCATCGTGAAACGAATTTATGGCTTACCTCGTTTCTTATGATATTAAATTTATGAGAGACTCAAAAACAAGCTAACCTTTTTTCACAATCCAAGCATGATTACATGCATTCAAGACTCCAACAAAGGTGATCGCATCTGGTTGTAACCCTGCTTCCTTCGTCTTATTTAACGGCACAAAGGCATCTCTTCCCGGCCATGTCACGCATAGCCAGACACCATAGAGAGAATAAAACCTTATCATAGTGTTCTGTATGAACACTTCCTGATCCAACAGGTCACAGACAATTCAAAACTACTTGCCTTGTAGTTTGTACTAGATAGTATGTCGATCATCGCGTTATAAGGCTGAGGCTCGTGTTCATAATCTTCCTGGTGCCCCGCCCACATGAAGAACCGGAAGGCTATCTTCTCCCCATATCAAAACCTTATCGGCATCGCTATCGAAACCATCGTCCTCGATGCCACAACCGTCTTTGGGTCGCCCCAACGAGACAACATCCATGCAAAAACAACCGCAGAGCAACCCTGGCCGCGGAAGCCGAGCGCCGTAGGGGAAACAGGAATTCGTCGAAACTCCAACAAGACGTGGACAGCCCCCACTATATTCAATGCAAAGACCCAAGATTCGGAATTTGTAAGTACAACACCGAGCGACTCAATAGGCGGAAATAGATTGTACTCCCGAGTGAGATTGCGACAACAGTGGCCGTATCTATGCATTCAAAATCAAATCTTCATATTGATAATGTATTGGTCATTAAGCACCATCCGCCGAGGTCGTTGCCTGTCGTCTTTTTCTGATCACAACGTTGTCCATAACTTCATCTGATGATCGCTACATCACGGGCTCGAAACGTGTTGTTGTTGCTCGACCAACTAAATGCAAAAAAAATGGGCAGTCCTCTTTCTTGGGGTTGACATGAGAGGGATCGTGTCTCTCCAGTGCTTGTCGCCTTCTTGTCAAGACCATAGGCAATGGCTACTGCAGTCGGTTCATTGAAAATACTCATGACATTGAGGCTAGCAATGACACCGGCATCCTTAGTGGCCTACCTTTGGGAGTTATTGAAGTAGGTAAGGACTACGACAACGGCATTCTTGATAGTCGTACCAAGGCATGCCTCAGCGATCTCACGCATCTCCGTGAGGATCATGGATGAGATTTCCTCCATAGCAAAGTGCTTCTCTTCGCCCTTGTAATTGACGACAACCATGGGCTCGGATGGAGGGAGCAATTTCTTGCTCGGATTAGCGAGTGATTTGGAACTGCAATTTGCTCTTGCGCTCTTCGCGCAATGTTGATAGCGGGGCCATGGTTGCAGTTGTTGGTCCAACGAGCAAAATTGTTGCCATGAAAACATCCGGTTTCATCATGTTTTGATTCATGACTTTGATTGACTCTAACTCTATTGTTGCAAAATAATTCCTTAAAATTGTTGGGGAAATATGCTCCTCCGAATTTGTAGAAGAAAAGAAATTTCAACTTTAAACGGGATGAACAATGAAGTAAGACTTTGAAGCGTGATATCACTTTCTTTAAGGAATTATTTGCCCCACAACGTTGCTAATGGTTACCAGCAAAAATCCTTCAGGATACAACAAAGTCTCAATGAGAATACCAGATAGCAATTCTGGTATTTCTCCGGGGTCTCTCAAAGGAAACAATTAGAAAATATGGCTGTATATCTCTTGGAAGAAATGAAAAATTGTTGTTCTTAATGAACAAAAACGTTGAAATATTTATACGTTGAACAAACACAACCTTTTGAATGTGAAGAAGTTATGTACGAACAGACACGACTTTCCAAAGGTTAAGAAGTTATGTCCAAATAGACACAACCTTCCAAAGGTTGTAAAAGTGCCTAATAACCGTTAGGAAAAAAATAATAAATTCGAAATTAAATTATTAAAAAATAACCGCCACTCTATTGCGAACAGTCACACTGTTTCAATATGACAAAACAGTTATTTTATAATAATAAATTCGAAATTTAATAAATAAATAAAAATGATCGTTGATTAGTGCCAAATCTCGTCCACGTGCGCACTCACATCCTTTCGATGTGGTACAAGGCACCTCGTTGTTTGTTTTACAAACAAACTACCAACAAGTAAAAGTTCAAAAAGGAAACTAGATTATGTGTATATCCTATTCAATTATAAGGATAACAAATCCTAAAATAAAGGTAGCAATACTATTCATATAAAGCAAAAACATAATAACAACTAAATTAACTACATCTTCTTTGATTGGATAAGATCTATCCTCTTCAATAAATCTTTTGTTGCTTGTTCAATGTCGAAATCAGTCCATTATGGATTAATCATTGTGGACATTTAAGTTGCTCTCATGTCTTGACTAAAAAAAGAACATTATAGTTTGCTCTTATGATCTGTTTTTCTTTTTCTGAAAAAACTGAGTTTTTAATTATCTCAAGAAAAAGAAAAGGAAAGGCATCTCTGAGTGGAGTGTTAGTGGACATGTATATGTGGGCTCTCGTGCTCTGAAAATCCGATGAGCAACTTTATACTATTTCTAAGGAATGAACTTGTGGTCAGTATAATCCTTCACTCATGCCTTTTCAAGTTCTCCCGTAAACTTCTCCATAATAACACCACGCAAAATTGCGAACTGATCGAGAAAATGCCTAAACTAGAGTGTACCTCTCTGTATCAGGAGCGAATTGTCAATAGATGAGACAGAGAAAGTGACCCTGAAAACTTGTTACCATCCATTCCATTTTGGATCATTTTATAATCTGATTCTCTCCTCAGTGGTGCTTTCAAGATCCCGGTGGCTAATTTTTGTATTGCAGTTTGTATTTCTTTGTCGAGAGCATGAATATGTCACCTTCGCTTAAGTGCTGGCTAAAGATTCTCTACGTTGTGTTTGCCTTCCTCTCAGCTTTCTTTCTGGGTGCTCTCAAAGGTCCTCCATGTACCAATTGTCAGCATTTGATTTTCTTTTTCTATTTTCCGCTGTCTCGTGCATAAATTTAGCATTTCTCCGTATTTTATCACTTCAACTGATTTTTTTTTCTTTTTTGCAGCTGTTGTGGTGGGTCCGTTTGCTTGTTTGATTGTGACATTGGGGAATGCTGGGGTGATTTTAGGGTTGTTCCCTGCACATGTTGCCTGGACAGTCCACACACTCGTAAAGTAATTATGTCCATAAATTGCATATAAGCACTAGTATTGATGCTCACTTGTCCTATTCTATCATATTCTATGATATGTTATTTATCTGTCCTTGATGATTATATTGCAGGATCAATGGACTTGATGGTCCTCTTAAAGGAGCCATCCTTCTGGGTCTACCTGCTTTGTTTGGAATATGGTCGGTTTTGAGTTTAGTCGGGACTGTTCTGGTTGTTTTGGCTATCATTTTTTGGCGCCCTGGATCCTGTCTTTCACGGCCTTTAGACACGAGGATGAATCGAAGAAATTCCTCCACTGCGTTAAAGTGAAACTTTTACTCGGAGCTTACTCTTGTCTGGAATTGGGAACTTAATGTTAATGCCAACTCTGATAACACACTCTTGGTTCTTTCCTTTACTATTATCTCTTTTGATCTCCTAGAATGGGACATGGGATACGATAAAAGGAAGTCGTACTATGGTTCAAGATTTCATGGACATTTGTTGTCACTCCTATCCGACTTATTTGAAGGAGCTACATGAATCTGCGGCTACACATCAGGTGCAGACTTTTAGGTAGTTTTACAGTGAATATTCAGTTTGCTCTTTTTGTTGCTTTGTCTGAAAGATTGTTGGGCTTCATGTTCATTGCCCATAGTAATAGGTGCACCGAACATTTATATAAACTTCTTGTGCCTATAGTTCAATTTAATGATTGAAGTTGATGAAATATGGGGGTGATGATCCAGGCAGCTCAATGAACCATAATGACATGTTTAGTTAATGATTATGGTAATAACCAAAGTCGGCAAAGTTGTAGGTTCACCGAGTTCCACATAGTCTGAAAGCAGTCATTTACGAAGCAACTAAATTTACCAACTTCTATCTCTCTCTTTTTTGGTTTTGTAGATTAGTGCCTTTTGCTGGATGTATCCTGGTAAGACTGAAGGTGCAAATCGTGCATGTCCCACTTTACACCGCTATTATGGTCATCAAGAATCTGTACAAGCTATTCAAGGGCTATTTCGCCTGATACACGATCTTATCAGTCGAGAGGGTCCATTTCTCAAAACGGCTTACATTCCGATTGCCGGTTTGACGATTCTCATGTGCCCCATTGCTGCAGCTTTGAGCATTTTTGCAGCTGCATTTTCGAGCTGCTTTAAAGGACTATATGGATCAGTCATCGTGTATCAGGTTTTCCCCCTACTTCACAGTTCATTTTCTTTTTCATCAGTACCATTTTTGTAAAAAACTAGACTCCAACCCCGTGGAATTTCGTGGAGGCAGGAAAGATCTTTTCGGAGAGGCATAGCTTATGTCAATGCGATGGTTGCTGAATTCGATGAGTACATGAATGACTGTCTGTATCTTCAAGAGGGAACTATACTTCCAAAGTAAATAAGTCGGACCCTTCAATCCTAATGTCACAAGTGCAACGTTGTAGCATTTCCCTTGTCGACCACTTAATTTTGGAGGTTTTGACAAAACATAAACGTTTCCCACAGCCAGGCCTTCATACAGAAAGCAAAAGGCTTCTTAACCATCCGAGCTGTCAGTTGGAGGAAATCATGTAGATAGAGGCAAAAGCGCCTCTGCATATGAAGAAGCACCGGCGATGCTTGTGCCTTAGCTTAGCTCAGTCAAGATCAGTGAGGAAGACAATACAAGAAAGCCAGATGGTGCAGGTGTATAAGGTTCTTTGGGGTCCAATTTAATGGTGGCCAGTAAGATGAATTTAGATTATTATGAACTTGCTGAAAATCACTAGTCCATACAACTTTCCCACTTTTTGACAACTTTGGGGGAAAATGATCAAGTCCCACAAAACGATAGGCAAAGATTCTGAGCGAACAGATCAAGGTCATGAGATTGGAAGAGAGTGAGGTGAGATTCTTAGAGAGAAAGTAGTTCTTTTTGGGAGCAATAAAGCCCGTATGGATAGGTGGAAGAATGGTGGAGTCGAGTCTCAAGATACTTTCAGAGCTGCTCAGATACAGGGTATTAGCAGAAGGTACTTCTTTAGTAAACCGGTAAATTTCCTGCTAAAAGTTTGAAGAACAATCAATGCTTCTGTAATCGTTTCGGCTGGGATATTATGTTCCATGCATCTTCTTCATGGTACATGTTGATTGTCAACTGCTTGAACTGTGAGTTCGATGGTATGTGATCAAATCCTCATAAGAACCAGAATTTCTTTGGGTGTCTTCTTATGTCTCCTGAAGATTATCCACTTTGGTTGCAATAGCAGATTCTAGTTTTGTTTTGTCTTCAAATAAAATAAAGGGTCTTGATTGTCTGAAACACATGAAGAAGACACTTCCATTCCAAATCCAATGACATTGAAGTACATGCTTGGAGATTTAGCGGACTGATCATTCCTTTTCGTGTCATTCTTTGCCTAAATGACCACCGGAGAATAGCTAGGGTGCAAGCGCTATAATACCCACTTTGTGCTAAGAATTGTCGCATTTACAGTTCACCGTGGACTGATTTACCATATTGATGGTTGGATTTTACACAAAATTTTGGCGGGATTATAGGAATCATAAGAAGTAAATCGAAGTTATCGACCTACAGAAGGAAATACCGTCAGGTGGTCAAGGCTTTAGTCACATATTCTGCAGAGAAAGGGTTCCAGTAGCCATATTACAGTCGGATCGGGTGTCCGCCTAGAAGACGCCTTAGTGTAAATTAAGGTGGGCCATTTCGATTTTTATTGAAGTTAGCAAATGAACAAACTATGCAGATGTTAATGAAATATTTGGAGAAGAGTGGTCTTCCCATGAAAATGTTAGTCATGTTCATCCGGTGATGACACAGTAGTTCAGATGCATGAACCCAAGGGCAAAATACATACAAACTGGTTCTACATTTGTACAATGCCAATTTCACTCTCTTTTTTCCCTTCTTGAGCTTTATTTCCGCGAGGCTTGAGGCTTGCGCAGATGAAGGGTCATAAATAACTTGGAATATGCATGATATCCACCTCTATTTACCTATCTTTTTAGTAAAAATGACACAAATAGTCCATGAACTTTGGCCCAATATGCAATGTGGTCCCTGAACTTTTAATTTGTTCAATCTGGTTTCTGAAATTTCAATACATGTTCAATTTAGTTCCTGAACTATATGAAAATGTTCAATATAGTTCTTCCATTAATTCAAATTCAAGGACTAAATTGAACACATACCGAAAATTCAGGAACCACATTGAACAAATTAACAGTTCATGGACCACATTAAATATTAGGCTAAAGTTCAAGGACTACATTGAACAAATTAAAAATCCACGGACTACATTGCTTATTTAGCCAAAGTTAAAGGGTTGTTTGTGTCATTATCCCGTACTTTTATTTAAAATAGGTGACTTTTTCTTGAGTGAGTCCCTTATCTCAATTTTCAAAGTGACTTGATAAATATTCACTTTTTATTTATTTTAAATGGCCTCAAAGTGCCATTCAACAGTTTAATAACAAGATGCATCCAAGAAAACATCTGCCAGTTTTATTTCTGAAATACATTTTTTTTCTTTTTGCTAGTAGTGGATTTCGAACTCCTCCAATTCTCCCTCCCAGTGGTTGCAATATTTAAAAACTCATTTTCTCTTAACTCATATTCCAGTTGTATATAAATACTCAGGATCCATTTGTTTGAAAGAAAATGATTTTTTAGGATAATATTTTCATTAATTTCCGGTGTTAAGCATAGAAAAATAATCCTAGTGAAGAAAATTGTTTTTCATATTGAAGAGAATTACCACTCAAGATTGGGAAGAATTAACACCCAGTTTCTACTTGTGGTAGATTGTTGTAATTACTTTATTAGAAAATATGAATGCAGTGACGAAGTTGCACATTTCCATTTAGATAGACTAAACCATTCACATATAAAAACAACAGCGAACCCCAAACAAGACTTTTAAAGACTCTCAAGCTCATACATTTTTTTTTTGTTGAGATCCATTTTATTTATCAAATAACCCAAATCTTACATTGATACATCCATTGCGCGCTTGCTCGCCGAACCAAAATTATCGTCTTAGCGACGAGAAGGACGAGAACTAATTTCACTGTCCTTATTTTCCCTTTGCAATCTTGCCCAGAAAAAAGCACAATAGGAAAAAAAAAAAAAACAATTCTACTAATTCATGTTCAAATCTTTATTCACCATAATGTTTATGAATCCTAAACACATGAAGACTGTACATGACAAAAGGGAAACAACAGAATAAACCCTAGCCAAACATGAGAGAGATAATTCCCAAAATGACCAGTCAAATTATTCCGAAATTAACCAAAAATTAACCAAATTAGAACATCACCAATGCCTTGCTTGCTTAATTCTCCTTTCACTCATCATTCAGTCTTCAAGGCTTCATTCAATCTGATCCACTCGTACCGTCCTCCCATTGGCTCGTCCTTGACAAAATCATAATTATACCTAATACCCACAAAAAAAAAATCCAGCAAATTTTAATTTGAGCATTTTCAAACCCAAAAAATATAATGAGAGCTGTTTCTTAGTAAGACTCACTTGTCCATGTAATACTGCACGAGCTTGCCCTCCATGGCCACGAAGAACTCTTCGATCTCCGACACGGCCGCAGCCCTTGGCTTGTCGTGTGCCGCCTCCTCTGGTTTGCTCCGGTGAACGTCCATGTCTTCTGCCGGCACCAGCAGCTCTCAAGGAGTGGAGTCAATGGAATTCAAAAAGCAGTTGATACATCAGTATATATAGTTTCCCCAGCACACAACACAATCAGATTTCAAAACGGGCAAAAACAAAATTTGAATGAAGAGGCCTCCGTTTCTTTCTCTATTTTTCACCCTTTTGAAATTCGAATTTAAATAACCGTAGGAGGCGTCAAATACGGAGAGGGGCTCGTCTCATCAATTGCTTCACGCACAAGAAGCTAGAGGGATTCGCTTTCCATCAGTCTCAGCTGATGTTTCCGCTTCATCATGTCGCATGTACACTAGGTAATTAATGCCGTTCTAGAGCAGAAAAATTCAAAAAGGTCAAGAATACATCAATGACTGGCCACCCCCCGGCGGAGCCACGGCTCGAGTGCCGAAGACCATCTGCTGCCGCAGCTGAGGAGGGAAAGCTCTCAGGCGGCAGTGCAGTGACCGCCGTGAAGCGAAGGGACTAAGTTTAAGCACTCCAAACGCATGAGGACCACAAGCATAGTTTGCTCTTGAGGCTTGGATAAGTAGGCTTCACGTGTTAATCGCCGATGTTGACTCAACAATTTTTGCGAAGATGGTTGGATTTAAATTATCGATGGAGAATAGTTTAAGGACTAGATTTCTAATCAAATGAAGCATATAGACCTAAATTCTCCAAACTGTAGGATTATAATGTGATTTCCCCTTATGAAGCAAGTTAAGTGGTCATACTAGTGAAGTTTCAGAGGGAAGAACGTGGGAATTTGATGGCGATGGACCATAAGTCATGACAAAATTTGGTTACAATGGATATAAATTGGGAAAATTGTTCAAAAACCTATTGCACTTTTGCCAACTTAATCCTAAATATTTTAATTTTGCCAATTGAATCATAAACCTTTTCACAATTTGCCAATTGAATTCATCCGGTCAATTTTAGCCAAATTTTGCTTATGTGGACACCGGCCTTCCCATGTGGCATGGCCAGTGTGTGGTCAGCGTTGACGTGGATAATTTTTAATAAATTTTCATTTTTTAATAATTTTTTAATTTTCTTCCTTCTTTTTTTTTTTTTACCTCTAGCCGGCGAGGTCCCTGACCATAGGCAAGGGCAGGCGACCCTCGCTTGGGCTGGGCGAGGGCATCGCGGCTTGCCTATGGCCAATGAGGGCTTGCCCGTGGCCGACAAGGTCCTCGATGCCCTCACCTAGCCGCTTGTGGCCGGTGACCTCGCCGACGAGAGGTTTATTAAAAAAACAAAGAAAAAGAAAAGTAAAAGAAATGAAAGAAAGGAAAAATAAAAGAAGCAAATAAAAAATTTCGATAAAATATTATTAAAAATTGTCTACGTCAGTAAAATCCGTCCAAAATTAGTCGGATGGACTCAATTGATAAAATGTAAAAAGGTTTAGGACTTAATTGGTAAAAGTTTGATGACTTTTTGAACAATTTTAACAACATAATTTACTAGTAATACATTTGAATGACACGAAAAGTTTCAAGAACCAATATTTAGGCATAGTAAATTCTTTTGATGATAATTGTCCCCCAAATTAATTATATTTTCGAAATATTAGGCAAAAAAAAGATCAAATGACTTCAAATACTAATGAAGGCTCTGTTCATAAAATTCTGCACGTGTCAACGAACGTGTTGAACAAGTAATACAATGATGAGAAGAGTATCGTCCCACAGAGATTGATAATAATAAATCAATTAGATATTAAAAATAGACTAATTCTAAAATTTATCTAACATATCAAAATAGAATTGAGAATAAATAAAAATTGAAAATTTTTAAAAACAAAATTTTATAAACTAAAGGCAGATAATGAATTAGATAAAATATGTTAGAGCATCCGATTTTACCATAACCACTAGATACGAATTTCGGATCATTATGCATACAAGAACAATATCAAACATGTGATAGCGAAATTTCCTAGTCTATTTACTATCCTATCTCTAGGTATAGCAAATCTACTCAGTTTATCAATTCATTATATCTCCATGTTAATTTAAATAAACATAAGTGCATTAAAATCTGTGAATATTCCCGATTTACAATGAATCTTTTGGACCACCTTATCACCGAAAGCTACACAAATAACATGGTATATTTCTATCCACATTTAATTTATGGTTATATATTATAAGGAGCAATTACATATTATCACTTCTCAGTCTCAAACATGCATATCAGATCATTCAAGTGGTGGCCAGTCACATAAATGCATTAAGCACAATAATATATAACTCACATTAATGAAATTACTTGCAAAGCATAAAAACATGAAATTCATATCATCATGGTTAGGCTACACGTAGCTCTAACAAAGAAAATTAGAACATAATAGAAGAAGAAATGAAAATATAAATTAAACCAAACATCTTGAATCAAAGAACAAGAATTCTATCACCACTTTTGTCTTCTCTTCAAAATACTTGAAAACTCTCAAAACATTGAAAACAAAAACGATCTCCAAAAAAACTCGTTGTTCCCCCAAGTTATTCTATTTATATGATAATATCCAAGACTCCTCTCACAAGGCAATTGTTTCTATTTTGGATAAAATTAGGGAATAAATTGCAGAATTCCCAATGTGATATCCACCTTCTAACTCTTTTCTGGGTCGCATATTCCTTTCCCTCTTTTTGCCATATTTTCCTTATTTTCTCCATATCTCAATATTCTGCAAAAACAAGGAAAAATTAAGTAAATAAAAGGAAATCCAAATATATTCTAACAAATATTGCATTATTTATTGCCTAGAGTAGATAAAATAACTCTATTTTTATAGAGTTATCAAACCCCCAAACTTAACATTTTGCTAGTACTTGAGCAAAAGCAAGATATAAAACATACTCAAGCTAACAACCCCCTCCATGACTTCCTTCCATAATTGTTCGAAATCACAATTCAAAGAAAAACACAAATTTCATCCAAACATTGAAATAGATTAATAAGTTAAAACCAATTGTGACATTCCGAATTTCGACCTATTTTTGGGATTTATAAAACGTGTAATTCGTCAGTGTGCATATAGTAAAATCTCGCCCGGGAACTGATCACTCTCGGTTATTGTTTTTAAAATTGAGATTTCGCTAGAATCGCATTCGATCGAATTTGGCCGTCATTTAGAGCTCGAACTTTGGTGTCGAATTTTCGGAGTTTCATGACGAATTAAATTGGACGATGTCGATATTATTGTGGTCAGCCTCGAGTTTGCCTAAATTAGTCGGAAAGTGAAAATTTGGACCGGGTACGGATTTTGACCGGTAGACCTCCCTCTAGGTTTATTTTATTTAGTATCCGTTGGTTTTTCCTTGATTTATAATTAGAATTTTTAGTGAGCCGTTAGATTGTTTTCGGGTTCGAACGTGGATCGTTGGATCGCGATAATTACCGTTGACTCTCTCTCTCTCCCTCTCTCTCTCTCCTCTCCTCCTTTCCCGCCGAACACCCCACGCTTGCTGACCCTCATGTGCTGCTTCTTCCTCAGCATGATTACTTCTCACTGCTGACTTTGCTTCTTGCTTGCTTCTTCTTCTCTTTCGCGCTTCTTCTTCACTTCATTGCTGCTGTTTTCTTCTTCATTTTGCTTCTTTGCTTCTTGCTTTTCTTGCTGCCGCTCACCAGACCGACCAGCTCCCTTGCTCAGCCACCCTCGCCACCGTGAGTGCCGGCGCTCGCCCGTCCGGCCTCGTGAGCTCACGGCTCACCGCCGGAGTTGCTCTGCCTCTTCTTCTTGGTTTGCTTGCTTAGGATTCCTAGTAAGTGGCTTCCTAACCCTTGACTAGGATAAGGGGTGACTAATGGACATGTTAGAGATGGTTTAAGGACTGTGGATAGTTGGATTAGTGGCTGGTTGTGCTTGGTTTGCTTGGTGGTGCTTGTTGGTTAACTTTCGGTAAGGTTGCTGCTGTGTCGCTGGATTTTGCTATTTTTACTGTGACTTGTGTGGGCCGAATTTGAGGAAGTGTTCTTCATAAAAGTTGTTCATAACATATTTAATTTTGACATATATTAAATCTGGAATTTTTGGAGATCATTTAGTGCCATTCGTAAGTCCATCTTTTGACCGAAATAAGTCTGCCGGAAATACTGTTCCTCCGACCTTCGGGTCTGTTCGAATTTTTATAAATTTTTCTAGACCTATTTGTGAAATACTTCCTTCACAAAAATTGTTGGAGACATTTTTTGGCTATGACATATAAAAATTTCAAATCGTTCTAAGGAGATGTGGTTACTACTTGAAATGCATTTTGGAAGCCGGATGGCCAGTCCGAATGAAATGTTTTATGTCCGACTTTGGATGACAAAAAGAGGTGGTTCTAGACAGAAATGGATCTTGTGTTCTTCATGAAAAATTTTCATCAAGATGTTTTGTATAACATATACAAATTTCAGAATTTTTGGAGTTGAATTAATATTTATTTCAAAGAAATTTCGGTTGTTGCGCAAACTGCCCAGAATAGCCCGAATGTGTGCAATTCCGGTTTTCTCTCTCTCGGGGACTATTCGATGTTATCGTGGCGTTTGACGGATTTAGTTGACACTGGGCTAATTTACAAGATAAGAATTGATAATGATTGCTGAGGTGTGTGCATGGTCACGACACGTTCCGTCTAGGCGGGAGTTCTAGACGATGCCGTTGGGTACCCGGCTTGCCGGGGGGTGTTCGATCCCCAACGTTGCCGTCTGGTACCCGGCTTGCCGGGGGGTGTTCGATCCCAGACGATGCCGATCGCGGTGGAGGTCGGATCGATGCTCCTAAGTGGAATGCCGTTGGGTACCCGGCTTGCCGGGGGGTGTTCAATCCCCAACGTTGCCGTCGCCGACGTAGCGGGACGATGCCTGGTTACGCCAGAAGACCGGCGGGAGTTCGGTGGCCCGAGGGGTCGTTAATAATCTAGATATTTATAAACGTGTGCTATGCATTAGAGAATGCCATGATTGAATTTAATGTTGAGCACGTCTGGGTTATTAACCGTGTTATGCATGATTATACCTTGAATTGCGTTGTACAAGCTTGATGAGCAATTGGCCATGTTATGGCGATATTCTAACGTGCAGGGCTTGTGTATGTGCCGAGGCGAGGTAAGGGCGCCTGTGATTGTTATGACATGTTGGATGTCGGTATTGCATGTTTAGAATTGTTCAGAGGTACGCTTTGGCCTAAGCGAGGCTTAGGTAGTTGCTTATTGAGAAGTGTTCTCATGGTTGTATAACCAAACCCTTTCAGACCCGCGACCGTGATTGATCCGGAGGCGCTGCC